CCCCAGACATTTATCAAGCACCTATTATGTTCTTGGAACTGTTTTGGGGTTTCCGGGGATGACTAAGACACTGGCCTCCCTTCAGGATGTCACAGACTGGGGGTAGACAAGACAGATGTGCATATTATACTGTTATGACGTAGTAAGATAATCCCCACACTAAAGAAATGTTCAAGAATTAGTGATTAAGCCCTGGCTAGTGTGGCTCAGTTGGTTGAGAGTTGCCTCATGCACTGAAAGGTTGCTGGTTTGATTCCCAGTCAGGGTACATGCCTGGGTTGCAGGCTCGATCTCCAGTAGGGGGTGTGCAGGATGTAGCCTATTGAAGTATTGCTCTGACATTGATGTTTCTCTCTCTCCCCCTCCTTTCCTCTCTCTCTCTAAAAATCAATAAAAATATTTTTTAAAAGAATTAGTGATTAAAAAAGCAATAAAACAAAACAAAAAAATTAGTGATAGACCAGAGGAAGGAATGATCAAATCTGCCTGGGAAAAAAGGAGAGAGAAGCCACATATATTCAACACTGAAACTGTGCCAACTGTCACAACAACCCTGTGAGCAGGTATCATTATCTTCATTTGATTGGGTGACAAAGGATCAGAGAAATTAAATAAATATCCAAGCACAAATCTTTAACATCTTATAGCCAATGTTTTTATCCAACTCTGTTAGATGTTAAAGTCATGTTCTTTCCATGACATTTCACGAAGGAGGTAATGTTAAAGTCGACCCTTGAAAGACAATGTCTTTTGACACTGGACAAAAGAGAAGAATGTTACAGGCAGAGGGAGCATTGGGTGTGAATAGATGTAGGTGGGAAATAACCAAATATGTAAATAGACCTGAGTCTGGGCTAGGAGTTGGAAAGATAGGGGGTCAGTGCATAAGATCTGTGCAGGGTGTGGCTAGATTGGTGGGCAGAGAGCTCATTCCCTTGTCATAGTCTTTGTTCTATGACAAGATGCTTTGGGTTGATTCTGAGTGATGGGGAACCAGTAGATGGTATACAGCAGGGTGTTAGTACGATTATATGTGCATTTAAATGATAGCTCTATTAGCAATGTGAAGGGCACATTGAAACAAAAGAGCTGGGAGTCTGCAGAGCCAAGAAAGATGTGTCCAGATTCTACTTTTACTGACTTCCACCCAGGCCTTCCATGGGGCACCCATCCCATGGTAGTTTCTGTGAAGGTTGCTCCCTAGAATTATGCAAATGTCCCACTCTACACCATAGAATTTTCTTTCTTCCATACCTTGTTGTGCATTTCTGTAACTGCACCTAAAACTCTTGTTTTGTAGTATTTCAAATTTCCATGTCTGCCTTCTTCCAATAGACTGTGAGCTGCTTAAGTCTCATCCCTCTGTCCCCAGCATTAAGCACGGAGTCTGCAACACATAAAGATTTCTTGAATAAGTAAATGAATGAATAAAATCCCATGGCCATCCAGAGAATTGTAGGATCATGAGTCAGATGTCCTTGAGATAAAAAATTCAGCCCTTTATTATTTGTGTGAGCTTCAACAGATGGCTTCGTATCATTGAACCTGTGTCCTCAACTCTGAAACAGAAATGAAGCCTAATAAATGGAATTGTCATAACTAGAAATTATGTATGCTATGTGCTTACGTATGTTCCTAGCCCTGATAGCACGTAATAAATGATGCTGTCAGCACCACCCATATCCCTCCGACCCTACAATAGAATGTATTCCATTCAACTTCCAACCTTCAGCATCTTCATTGCTGTTTCACATGTTTCTCTCTAGAAGTTCAGGAGGCTCTCCGGCCTGTGTTCAGCATGTCAGAAGCACTGGAATATTGATAACCAATGGCGATGGTGTGCGAATCCTCAGCTCTCTCGCCCTCGGTGGCAGTCTATGTCCCTCAGTGGGAGTCCGTGTCCTGTGCTAGTCCCTACTGTGCCGTGGTGCTGAGCACACCCTTCCATGGCTGTTCTGCTCCATCTTCACTCTCCAACCGCTGTTCCCTGCATTTCCCAAATAAACCATTTCCTTCTTAAAGCCTTGTCCCAGGGCCCACTTTGGGGAAGATGAAGAATTTTCTTTACATAGCCAATAAGTATTATGAAAGCAGATGAAATTTTCACATTTTGAAGGAACTTAAAAAATGTCATCATCTCTGTGGCAGACGTCTAATGAGATTTTTCTCCTTTCTCTTGATTGTAATTACAATGAGGATTATAACTCATATTTTGCTATCTTGTGGGTTAGTCACAGATCTCACCTCTGGAGTCTTGGTTAGTGGAAGCTCCTCATGGCCGTGTTATGAGTCTCCACCTTTCAGAGCTCTCTGACATGGCCCACCCGGGGAGCATGATGGCATATTTCTATTGTTTTTGGGAGAAGTCCATGCCTCCCTATACCTTCCCAAGGAAGGCACAGTCTAGTAAAATCCACCAGGACTTCATGGGTGTAACCTCTTCTTCTGTTTCTTCCTCTCCCTCCTCTGCCCTCCTCTCCTCCAACCATCTTCCAGGTGTGGTTTCAGAACCGAAGAGCCAAATTCCGCAGGAACGAGAGAGCCATGCTGGCCAACAAAAATGCTTCCCTCCTCAAATCCTACTCAGGAGACGTGACTGCCGTGGAGCAGCCCATCGTACCTCGTCCTGCTCCAAGACCCACCGATTATTTCTCCTGGGGGACGGCCTCTCCATACAGGTGAATGACTGGCCCATTCCCCCTTGCTCCACTTCTACTTGTTTCTCAGCGCTCGGTCACGTTCAAAGCTGCCTGTGCAGCTGGTTGACATTTGTTACTGGGTTAACCTCTTCAGAGACATTCAACGTGCTGACATCCCCAGATTTTCACAACAGATTACTAGTTGCCCCAGGAGCAGGGTTTGGGGCAGAAGAGAGAGGGGCAGGCCATCAGCAATCTCCTCTTGGACTCAGGAACTCTTGCAAAGGTTTCAAAGATGGGGAAGAATCTAAAAGAAAAGATCACTAAGCTATGCTCAGAGTCCCCCTTGCAACCATTCTGGAACAAAACTTTACTCCATTTCCAAATTTAAGATAGATCCTTTTTTTTTTTATGCTCAAATAGGAACTGAATTTTTAAGGCTATAAATGCAGGACCAAGGGCCAACTTCACAGTAAAACTGATTTTGAATTAAAAGAAAAAGGAAGGG